GTATTTCCCCAGTGCTTGAATGGGTTAATTGTTGCATGCAAATATTGCAATGTATAGCTGTGTGTCATCTACATAGTTAAATTAACTAGTTTGTGAAATATTAGGAACTGTTACTTATTTTTGCTTTATTAGGCTTTGTAAGTTGCTTCATACAACTTTGTTTATTCCCTGTCATAAATTAGATCGAGGAAATACTGCAGGATTATGAAGACCGATTACTGGAGATCTCAAAGATCCTCCACTTCGTCAACCAGGGCTTGTACAGACTCCGCGGCCACCCTTTCCTCAGATCTGGCACGCAGCATTATTCACAGGACTGGGACGTTCGCAAGGCGGTCCAGATGATCAGCATGGTGGATTCCCCTGTGATGCGAGCAACAGAAATAACAGATGAGGCTGTGGGCTCCCTGCAAGGACTCTTCAAAGGTATGGACAAGTACTTTACCAAAGAAACCAGAGAGCTGAAGAAAAGCTGTACTAAGGAAATAGTGAGTGCCATAAGACAAGTGGCAAATGTTCTGAATGATTGCATCGTGGAGCTGAACACCATCAGAGAAGAGCTCCAAGATGCTACTGGACAAGTATAAACAGCCTCATTATCATCCTGAGAGAAGATCACCACTGACACCTTGTGGCAGAAATGGAGAATTACAGCTCAGTCTCTTCAATATTACATTGTTGTTCAAAAATATTTTACCTGTAAAGCTAATAACGATTTTTTTGGGGGGAGATTGTGTCAGTAAAGTTTTAACTTGTTTTGCTAACTTTATTTAGGTTTCAGGTGAGTTTTGGTATTTAAGACTTGAAAATACATGGAGAGAGGGTTTCTGGTTAACCACTTTTTGTTCAGCCTGAGATGTATCAATGTTTTCCTGTAAATATGTCACACTGGGTTTACTTTGTTGAAATGTTATTTTTGAAATGAGTTTATTCACTGTGTCTTAAATTGATCCTTTATCTAAAACTTTACGACACAACCCCAACAATTGATAAACATGTTTGACAGAAATGTAAGAAGTTAAGTTTCCAAATCCTAAAAACCAAAGAGATTAGGAAGCGTCAGATTTTAACAGAACATTACAGATGCAGGTTAAACCACCTGGTATTGTAAATAGGATTTGTAATTTTAAACTTTTGAACTGCAGAAAAGATTACTTTTATAATCAAGTGTTTATAGATTAATTTATTTGTCAGACTTCATTACTTTAATTTTATTGTAAAATGTGAACTGGTATAGGAAGCGACTGATTTTGCTTCCTTAGATGCCTCCTTAGGAAGTTTGGTATGTTGAAAAGCTTCAACACCATTTAATGCTGCTTTTTTGTATAAAATAGTTGTCTTGAATGATCCCAAAACATGTTGCATGACAATTTTACAGAAGTTTTTCTGCTTGATTAGAGACACATTGTCATGTTATTGTTTCTTCTTAATTTAACTGTTTTCCACACAACCAACACAACTACTGGATCAAAATGTAGATTTTAGATATTGGATCTACCAGATTACTGCAGGACTCTTCATGCCAGTTTTTCCTTTTTAACAGAAATTGACAATCTGTATTGTTTTAATTCTTCTTTTTTTACTATTTGCTACATTTCCTGTGTGCTGGTTTACCTGAAATAAAATGTAAAGATCTGTCCTTCTGTCCCTCCCAATTTGATTTAAAGGCTATGTATCAATTTGTGTTCATTATCTTGCAGAAGAAGCTTGATATTTCTATGAATACTTGCTTTACTGATTCCGATTTGTTAGATGCAGAATGGAAGGAAAATAAGGAAACAGACTTAAACAAACTATAAGATGCATATTTAGTCAAAGCCATGGTGTCAGGATATTTATCAAATTGTAAGCTTAACGTGACTTCCAAAAATGTATTCTGTTATTTGTGTTTTGTGGTCCTACTGACTGCTGCCCCCACAAGTACATCTATGATTCCTATTTAGGGCCCACATCCCACTTTTGGGGTCCAAAACTGCCTCTTCTCTCCTTACCATGAATTGAGTCACATAGTGAATTGCCTCATAAGCAATGTGATTTAGATGTCGGAGTTTCCTTTCAGCTTCGTCATCCATCATACCAAATGTTTTAACTGTTCTATGGTTGTGATATATCGCTGATTGCTAGCTGTAGCATTGACCAACCCCATGATGCCACCATTTGAAGTACGGCAATTATGGAGACACGCTTACAAAAATATAAAACAAAAAGCTTTTTTTTTTTTCACATTTGTAATGTTATTATTGACAATGGTAAAACACAATCTCATGAAGTAAGTATGTTTGATTGACCGCTTCATTTTGACTTTAAAACCAACTCCATCAGAATGGGTGTCTTGATCAATTCCAGCTTTTTTATTTTTATTTTCATTTAACAATTACAGAGCAAAAAAATGAACTGTGTATTTAACCCATGCTCTTGGGGAGCAGTGGGTTGCCATTTTGCATTGTGGGCAGTGTGGGGTTAAGGGTTTTGCCCAGGGACGCAGAGTGGCAGTCTGTGGGAGCAGGGCTCGAACTCTCAACCACAACTGCCCTAATCACTAGGCCACCACTACCCAGGCAGTCATTCAACACATTGGGGAGTAGCATAACCATGTTTCGGATAAAAAACCTAACGTCAATATTATGGACAAGTAATACAAAGATCTAAATTTTAATAAAGCCAGTTATCACCTGGGGCCTGTTTCAGAAAGGAGGTTAAGTGAAAACTCTGAGTTTGTTAACCCTGAAATGAGGGAAACTCTGGGTTTTCTGTTTCGGAAAGGGAGGTAAGTTAAACCTGAGAAAGCAGAGTAAGTCAAGCCCGTTTCTGAAAGAGAGGTAACTTATACTCAGAG